CGAAGCCGCGGCGCCGCCGGCCCGGTCAGCCCCGCCCCCTGCAGGTGGGAGGGGGCGGGGAGTGCCGCCGAACCTCCGCGAGCTTGGCCGGCCTGCGCGGGAGGCTGGGGCGCCCGGTGACGTCATCGGCGCGTGATGCAAGAGGCCGGGAATCACCCGGCTGCGTGTGACGTCATCGAGTTCGCGTCACCACGGCTCTCCACCTGCGCTCGGTCCCGAGGCGGGCGGCTTCGAAGCGGCCTTTGTCCTGGCAGGTTTTCGGGTTTTTTTGTTTGTTTGTTTTTCCCAGCGATTGAAATCAGGCCCTTGTTCTTGCCGGGCAAGTGCTTATTCTACTGAGCTGTCTCTTCAGCCCCCCTGGAAGGTTTTTGGACGCATTCTGGAAACTTCGTGGTGTACTCTGGATGCTGCTACCCCCAGGGCTTGGAGTCCTCTTCAGTTTACAAAGCCTCATTCGATAGCTCCTTGCCAAGAACTGTCCAGAAAACTGTCCGATCTCGTGTTCTCAGATCCGGACGTCCCTTTGGTGTCTTCTCAGTGTGCCAGTCGCAGCAGGAGCTCGAGGAGGGGCGGGACGAAGCGATGCTGCGCTGGGCGGCTCGGACAAATCGGCACCTTTTCCTGTTTTTCAGCTTCCATGGAGGCGATTTCAGCCCAAACCTTTATCCAAAACTCCAGCTCTGTACTTACACCTTACAAACAGTGTTTCTTTCCCTGCGCTGCGGTCCTCAAACTCAACACGTCCCAAACAGCGTTCTTAGCAAGAGCCTGGAATCAGACTGCCTTGCTTCAGAGCTCGGGTATATAAGATATTTTTTCATACTAGTAAGTACTGTATTCTCTATTTTTTTCTAAGAGAATGCAAAATGGTTAAAATTACACACAATACAAAACCTCACTAAACAAAATAATAGGAATTCGAAATGGGTGTTGTATTACATAATGTTATCTTCGAATCAGTTGCCTAGACTACGAGACACAAACATGCAAAATAAGTTAAAAAAAAAAAGTTATGGGCTAGAGAGATAGTTCCGCGGTCTAAGCGCCTGCCTGGCAAGCGCAAAGACCCGGGTTTGACCTGCAGTACCGCGTGCTCTGCTGGCCCCAGAACCCCAGGCGCGCAGAGCCAGCTATTGGGACCAGGCATGGTGGTGCACACCTATAATCCCAGCGCTGGGGAGGTTGACACAGGAGGATCACTGAGTTGGAGCTGCATAGCGAAACCCTGTACCAAATAAATAAAAAAATGTTTTTTTTAAAGTTATAAGAAATTGGGGCCAGGGAGATGGCTCAGTGGAATAAGCACTCTCCTGGCAAGCGCAAGGGTCTGAGTTCAATTCCCGGTTCTGCCTAAATAAATAAATAAATAAATAAAATAAATAAAGTTATAGGAAATTAAAGAGAAGAAAAAAATAGAAAAAAAATTAAGTATTAACTACACCCCTCAATAAACCAGCAGAAATCAACAATACAATTATCCAAGTTATCTTGCGTATAGACATAGATATCTTTTTCCCTTTTGTCGTTTTCCTCATCCTAGTTCTTCCTTCAAGTACTGTATTCTTAACTAGTCTAATTCTGTTTTATCACAGTAGCAACTGTAGTTTAGCAGGTATTAAGCCCTTTCAAATGTTGCCTATTTAAGAATACAAAATAGTTAAAGGCATTAGAAATGTTACAAAATTTCATTAAACAGTAATAGGAATTCAACAGTAGTTGCTGTATTGGATGATGTTCTCTTCAAATTAGTTGTCTGGGATACCAGATATAAACCTGCAAAATTGGTTTTCATTTTTAAAAACCAACAACAAAAGTTATAAGAAATTGAAAAAAAGATAAAAAGAAAAAAATTGAGTATTAACTGCTCCTTTCAAAAGACCAGCAGAAATCAGCAGTACAGTTATTGAAACTATCCTGCATACAGACATAAATATATCTTTTTCCCTTCTTTCTTTCTTCCTTTTCCTCATCCCGGTTTTTCCTTCGCATGTGAGCAAATTACTTTTGTCGATTTCCCCGATTTCTCTGTTTTCCTGATCTCAGCCAATGAACCTCCATCCCAAAGCAAGAAACCTAGATGTAAATCGCCACGTCTTCCACTGCCAATATCCATATTAAATTGGTCTTCAAGGCAGGTAGCACGTCCTACATAGTTTTTAAGCCCTTGGCCTTCCCTTTGTTCACTACTACTAACCCCAAAAGACTTCTCTCCAAATCAAATCTATTTCTCTCACTCATCAGCAGAGAAATCTTTTAGACCCACAAACCTCTTGAGATCCTTCTGTGTTGAAGCACTTTTTAAAAGTTTTTTAATTAATTTATTTATGTGGTACAAGGTCTTGCTATGCAGCTTGGACTCATAATGATCCCCCTGTCTCAGCCTCCCCAGTGCTAGGATTACAGGCATGTGCCACCACACGAGTTTGGGGGCTGGCACGGCATGCAGTACCTGGGATTGAACTCAGGTCCTTATACTTGCCATGCAGGCACTTAGACCACTGAGCTATCTCCCCAGCCCTGTTGAAGCACTTTTTGAGATGCTTTCATTGCTTCCAAGAAAAAAGTTCAAACTCCTTAACTTGGCATTTTCCACCTAGCTGCTTACACCAACCTTTCTAGCTTTATCTTACACTGAATCTTTTACTCCAGCAATACTGAAATATGCCTCGGGGGCTAGGGAGACTGTTCAGTGGTCTGAGCGCCTGCCTGGCAAGCAGAATGACTGAGGTTCAGTACCTGATACTGCATGTCGTGCCAGCCTCAGAACCCCTGGCCTACTGTGCCAGCCACTGAAACCAGGCATGGTGGCACACACCTGTAATCCCAGCGCTGGGGAGGCTGAGACAGGAGGATCACTATGAGTCTGAGCTGTGCAGTGAGATCCTCTATTAAATAAATACATAAATAAATAAAGGATTTTTTTTAAGTATTATGCCTCTGGACTGTAAGCTCTCCACTCCCTGACTGGCCACTGCCTATTCATTCTACAAAGCTGGACTCAGACATCACATTCACTTTTTATTCAACTAATATTTCTGGAGTTTCCCAGAGCCTTAGTATGCTGTAATCCTGTAGTACTTTCATGTCTTGTAAGCATCTGGTAGGGGAGTTAGTAGCTGTATTTGGTAATGACTCCTTCCTTGCCTTGAGAAGAGGTCATCTTCCTACCCTTATCCCCAGCCGCTAGTGCTTCTTGACATGGTGGCGATCAATCTGTTGTTAAATGGTATCCAGTAAATTCCTAGCATACTAAACGGCACATAATGTTTTGAACACTTCACAAACACTGTCTCCTTAGATCTCTAAACAACTCTTGGAGGTGGATACTACTGTTCTTCCCTCTGTCTTGTTGAGGAAACTGGGGCACAGAGGAGTACAGTAACTTAAGATCATAAACCAGGGGCTGGCGAGATAGCTCAGCAGACTAAAGCACCTGCTTGGGCAAGCTTAGGCCTGCGCAGGGACCACAGTTCGATCCCTGGCGCCACATGCTGCACCAGCCCTGCATCCAGGGTAGGCTGAGCCGGCCAGAGTCCAGGCCTGGCTGCGGTGGCGCATGCCTATAATCCCAGTGCTGGGAAGGCTGAAAAAAGGAGGATCACTATGAGTACTAGCTGCGTAGTAAGACTCTGTAATAACCAAATACATTTTTTAGGAAAAATGGTAAACCAGTAAATTGATTTTAATCTAGACCATCTTTTTTTTTTAAAGATTTATTTATTTATTTGGAGCTCAGATTCGCAGTGATCCTCCAGTTTCAGCCTCCCTAGTGCTGGGATTACAGGTGTGAGCCGCCTTGCTCTCGGTTTCAGGGGCTGTCACAGTGAGAAGCCAGTGCAGCATATGATGCCAGGCATCCACCCTGGGTCCTTGTGCTTGCCACGCAGGCACTTAGACTGCCGAGATATCTCCCCAGCCCCAAATCTAAACCATCTTTGTGTGGTCTCCCTGGTAGGCATAATAATAAATAGTTCTTCCAAAATGTTCACATTTGATCCCTGAGAAATCTGAGTGTGGTACCTTACATGACAAAAAGGATTTTATATGTATCAAATTAAATTACATCTATTAAACTAAGGTTTTGAGATGAAGACTCTGCTCTTGGGAGCAGAATTCAGGAGATTGAAGAGGCAAGAAAAGAAGTCCTCTTTTGAAGTTCCAGAAACTAACATCCTGACCAATGCCTTGACTATAGCCTACCATCCATTTCAGACTTTTTAAGATATAAATGTATAGTGTTTTAAGATACTACAGTGTGATCATTTGTTACCTCATCCACAGAAAACTAATACAGTCTCCAGTCAAGAATAGGGCTGCTTTATGTCAGTAGGCGGGAGGGGCAAACTTGCAGGTGTATGGGTCCATCCAAACATGTGCATCTCCTTTCAGAGTCTTTCCTACCAGCAGAAAACCTGACCTTAGGCAGGCAGACACCCGAGCCATCTCTCAAGCCTTCACTACCATGTTCTGGGCTTCACGTTCGGCACAGTCAACTATCTACTGCAGAAGGAGAGAAGCTGGCGCAGCCATGGAGGCCCACCTGGCCCGACGATGCCTTGGCGATGCCTCAGTGGAGCCCGACCCGCTGCAGATGCCCTCTTTCCCGCCAGACCATGGCTTCCCTATCCGGAAGGAACGCCTGATGGTGGCCACACAGCAGGAGATGAGTGATGCACAGCTGACGCTCAAGGGGCAGGACTACTGTGCGCACCACCCCGTCCTGGCCTGCAAGCTTGAGCAGCACACCTGGGACTACTGCGAGCACCTCGACTGTGTGCAGCGCATGGAGGAGTTTGAACGTGAGCAGTGGCTGCTGCAGCAAAAGAAGCACTGGGAGCAGAGGGAA